CATATGCTTTCTTGAAAACGAGTTTCCAACTAACCGACCAAGAAATTTTATGGACACAGGCCAAATGGAAACTCCTTTCGGACAAAGGGCAACGTTTCTAAACACGATTCGAATTTAACTGAAAAAATGATCGACAAACCATTGGATCCTCCTATTATGTATATCGAAAGTAAACGAATGATTAGCTAAGATAGAGTTGACATTTAAATAATGATTTGAATTTTTTATTAACGAGGAAGGATATTTAATTTTACATTTGGAAGACTTGGGAACCAAGGAGAAGATTTTTTACTGTGAAAAGAAAATTTTAGACATTATTTCTATGACAGAACTGAATTCCAGACATTCTCAATCTTCTTGACGAGAGCGTTCAAATTAAAATAACTATAATTTTTAATTTAATTAAATGAACAATTTTTAGTTTTCAGATTCTAAGTTAAAATATAATTTTACTAACTGAATAATTACTAAGAAGAACCAAATCGAAATTATTAAAAACTGTATAATAAATTAAATGGCTACCAATTACTTAAGATTGCTGCAATATAACAAGTAGCATAAATGATCATAAACTTTTAACTTTCTCCAATTTTTTTACCAAAATTAGTAACCTCTTCTATCTAGAAAAAAATCTTTCGAAGTGGGAATAGTGCCAAACGATTTTCTATCGAATTTTTATTCGAGGATGCGACGGGGGCGAGTCTGGAGAGCTTCTCGTGGACGAGGCGAGGGCTGACTGGGAAAGGAAATCGAAAAGGAACAATTGGCGGGACATTGAATTTGAAAAAAGGCTCGGGGAAGCCAGAGATGAAACGAAAGTAATTCCTGGCGCTGTTCGTCAGCTCGCATTGAACGTAGTGTCGGCTGACCCCATCGAGTGAAATACGTATGTACATAAAACGAAGGCGACGGCTAAGAAAGGTCGAAGAAAAGAGAAATACTGTCCCGTTCGAGCCGAATCCATTGCACGTACCAGAGGGAACCGGAGCACAAAAGAGGATTGCGACGATTTCGATGCGGGCACAAAGACAAATTTTCGAACTTTGGTAAATTGAAAACGTTTCTTGTCGGGGAACAAATAAAGAATAACAGCAGCGAGGATTAGTATTTTGTTAAATTGCTGAGAAACCCTAGACAATACGTTAAAGTATCGATTTATTAAATCGCAAGCACTGTGGACAATAATTTAATAAGAATCTATTTTGGAAATAAGAAATATTTTTACCAAATGGACATGACATATTTAAGTGTGCATCATTTTTTAATATATTTGTATCAACATCATTATATCATTGATATTGATTTCTGCGAGCTCAATCACCTCTAGATTATTTTTATTATGTTTTATGTAGGACTAACCATACATTCGCTACTGAAGGAGTTCGAAATCTTTAAATACGTTATATTTAAGCAATATTCATTTTGATATTTCTATAATTGTTTGATTAAGTATTATTTCCATAAAATTATTGCGATAAATTGATACAGGTGAGCATTAGTGAAAATAATTTTCCAATCTGTAACACGTAATTTCAGTTTCATGTCGATAGCGACACGCTGAATATTTTATGACACTAAAATCGTAATATAATTTAACAGACGGCAGTAATCCTCTTAGAAAATTTTCGAATAATATATATTTATCGTTCCCCGTAAGGATTACGAGTTGAAGCGGCAGCTACAATCGCTCGAATGATTTTAAGCTTTCAATATTTTATGAACAGATTATAATGGATTACGAACATAATTACAAGCTTGTAGACTCGCTTCGGTTCGTTCTGTTAGCTTAGAAATTCGAGCCATTCAAATTTCCTGCGGTACAAAACTTTTACCAAAAATTAAACAAAATTTGTTGCAAATGTACAAGTTACCAAAATTCGAGTTGCTTTAATGCAATGTATTTAAATTAAAGTTCTATTTATTAGGAAATTTAGTGTAATATTACACGAACGAACAGGTGAAACATGTAGGTAAATTGTTTTCATAAAGTTTCTTATTATACTTCCATGCCAGGAAATTTTTATAAACTTAAGCAGCATTTATTATATTTCAAGAATATCTAAAAATGTGGTTAAATAATTCAGTACAAAATTGTAACGTATCCATGGTGTTGTATAAAAATTTGGCTACAACGTTGACGTTTATTCTGCTCTCTAATCGCGTTAAAATTATTCCGCGAGTAGCACGATCGTTGCACCGAGCACTACTCGTGGCGCCAATCATCACTTTCCACTTTTCATTTTATGAGATTCCGATTCAGCGCTCCACAATACCGCGCGTTCACGTTTCTTTAATGCTTTTCTTTCTCGATTCTCGCGAAGAAATGTATATTATGCCTTTAGCGAGCCAACCAGGCGAGCAAGTATCGTTCCGTGAAATTCTCATGAACGAGTCTCTTTAAATCCCCGTATTTCAACGTTGTATTATCGCTTTCTTTCGTTATACGTCATTTCTCCTACCATTATTCAATAATTCCCTGCAAATGGATCCAAAGTACCCTATTCTCTGCATGGGCGCAGACTGAGACGTCGTTTCGTGACGTAATTTGCGAGACAATTGACAAATGGAAGGGTAATTCCACATGCGAGAGTACAATACTATACAAAAATTTGCGTTGAATTTAATTAGTTTTATAGAGGGCTTGTTAAACGTGATTATAATCGTAATAAGCAAATGGAAAGGATTTTATTTGAAACTGGGGGTAGCTAAAATATAGAATTAATTTTATAAAATTATTTGGCAGGAGTGTTAGCACCACACCTTCGGAATAAAGTTTGTTGACCTTCAAAATAAATTAAAACTAAGGATAACTAAAACATGGAATTAATTTTATAAAAATTATTTGGCAGGAACATTAACACCTC